GAAGATTCTAAACTAACACGAGTCTCATATGTGTCCAGTTTAAGGGTATTACACAGAAACACACCATAATAACACGAATCAAATATGTAATTTATTCATTTACAATAAATGTCATAATGTACATCATGCTGATTGGAGCTAAGGGCATAAACCGTCTAACAGAAGGTTCACATTTACTAGATACTACTATATGAAGTCCTTTAGATATGCTTCCTATTATACTTGGTTCCATCTACTTTATCATAATGTTTGTTTTTTTCCCATGTTTTATTAGGCTACTCCAGATATGGCTGTCACTCTTCTTGAAATTGCAAGAATTTTTGCTACTAAAGTTCCAGGAAAGATTGATGCTGATGTTCTGCAGCTGCTATGGAAAGTAGGTTTGGGTATACCAAATCTTGGATTATGTTTTTCATTTTATGTTTAGATTTTGTGCTCAAATTTGTTGTCCTTTCTGATTGTGCTATAACCATGAGCTCATACTTGCCCAATATTTTCATTTTTCAAGCTGGAGAATGTTTGTCTCCCAAAGTTTAATAGGTATTGTAATTCATAATGTCTTATGAAAGTCTAAGTGGGGTGGTTTAAGAAGCTACATTTCATAACTCGAGGGGCTATCCCTTTTATAAAGTATAAACTATAATTTTGTTTCATCTTTTTAGATATGAAATTTTGTTTTCTATTGTCACATTCATTACTAGTGATGCAACAATATTTAGGACCTCTAAAGGAATTGAGAGCCTTATGAACTGAATTTGAAGCCATCTTTCTGGAGACCTACAGGTCAGCAAATATTCTGGCTGATGCTATGGCCAGATACTGGGTATCTTGTAAGAGGGAGCTGACTATGAGGCAAGGGGAGAGGGTATGCACCACCCTCACTAAAAGAACGCATGGTGTTTGATGTAGCGGGGGGGGGGGGGGGGGGGGGGGGGGGGTGATTGGGATGCTTGGCACATTGTTGCTCTTGTAAATACTAAATATGCCTAATTCTTTTTTCATCTGACAACATTTCAATCATGTAATTACACACTTAGGGGTAGACCTAGCAATTCGGTTGAGTGGGTCGGGCTCGGGTTGGGTCAAGACACTTCGGGTTGATTTCGGGTTGGGTTGAATTTCGGGCTGGGTTATCAAATGCTAGACCCTAACCCTAAATGTTTGGGTTAGGGTTGACCCGTGGGTTAATTCGGGTCATCCCAAAAAATAACTGATTTAAAAAAATAAAGAAAAACTACATGAAAATTTCCAAAATTAAAGGAATTAACCTTAAAATTCCAAATATAAAATAAAAAAAACTTGAACATTTAACAATTTATAGAGTAAACAATAAAGAATAAAGACTAAATAGAAAAAATTAAAGACTGGAATAAATAGTCCCAATTAGACTTGACAATCGGGTCAGCAGGTTGACCCATGACACAACCCAACCCAACCCAGTTTTTTCCGGGTTGGGTCGGCTCGGGTCATTCTCACATTCAGGTAGCTAAATATGAGACCCTAATTCTGTTTTTTCAGGTTGGGTTGGGTTGGGTCAACTTTTTGCCAGGTCTACTTAGGGGCCATTTGATTATGGCTGAGGTCGCTGAACTGAATGACTTAAACTTTCTCTCAGTGAAACTATTAAAGTAGGTTGAGCTCCCTAATGCCTGAGTGGCATGTTGGATTGATTACCATATCCTTAAATATTTTATTGTATAACTACTTTATCCACTCAAAGATAAAGCAATAAATCATTCAGTTCAGCCACTTCAATCATTATCAAATGGCCCCTTAGATTGTTGCTGGTGATAGCATGTCTAGTTGCTGCATGAATACCTCTCAGCTTGTTTTTCTCCCCACCAAAGAAAAGGGGAAAGGTACTGTGGAGGTGTACATGGGCAGCAATCTTGTGGGGTGTGTGGGAAGAAAGGAATGATCTTCTTTTCAATGAGAAGGAAGGACCTATTGAAGAACTGATTGACAACATCTCTATTAAAGTAGTGCATTGGGTTAAGACTCTAGATATCTTCTCTGATTTCACAATGGATGACATCCTTGGATAGTAAAACCTGTGGATAATTGGGCTTCTCCACCTTTGAGACACCCAAAACTTAACTTTGATGGTTGCAGCCTGGGTAATCCTAGGCCTTCAGGCATAGGTGGAGCAATCTGGGATGAAAATGATAATATTTTAGAACTCTTCTCAGGCCCTTTGGGAGTAGGAAACTCAATCCTGGCAGAGACTTGGGCAGCACTCACAGATCTGAGGCTAGCCTCCTTATTTAGGTTCTCCCTTATTGATGTACTTAAACCTCTTTATCTAATTAATAAATTATTTGCTGTTACTCATAAAAAAACCATTGTGTTTATGTATTGTAAAATTATTACCATTTTAGAAGGGGAAATACAAGATATTTTTGGAAGTAAAAGAAAACTGTGGAATATTGTTAATATGTCATCATGGTTTGCAATGTTGATGATATTTGGCGATATATCCCTGAGCTTTCCCCATTTGCTAGGTGGTGATACAAAATCTTCCAAGAATGTTTTTCTTCCCAAATATCCTCGATATTTTGCTGATATGTTGACAATATTTCAGATTTCATTGATAAACTATATATTTAAAACTTAAAATTTTAGAATATTATTGAAAAGTTTTCAATATTTCATTAGAGCCATCATAATTTTTTTTTTAAATGTTTTCCTGAAAGAACTAGCAGAGAATTGGTGATTAGATAATTGGCTTACTACTTTGATATGATTCACTATAATTCCTAAGAAAAAGAAATGTGCATATAATTACAAAAGAGTATTCTCAATCTAATCAAAACATATAATAAAAAATAAATGTAAAAGTTAAAGTGAAAATAATTGATGGAGATAATAAGTTGGAGACTAAAGTCTAGATGTAAATGACTAAAGGAGGGAGATGGGAATACCAAATTCTTTCATACCTTGGCAAATGGAATAAAGAGGAAGAGCACTATGGAGAGGCTGCAAAATGGAATGGAGAAATTCTTACAAGGGAGGAAGAGATAGCAAGAGCATTTTAGGATCATTTTAAAACCATTTGTGACAGCCTAGACAGAATGAGAGAGGACATTTTTTATTTTTAGTGGCAAACAGGGAGTAAAGAACTAATGTAAGAATTAGAGAGAAATTTTGAGGTCCAAGAAGTAAAAGATGTTGTTTTCTCAATGGAAAGATCTAAAGCCTCGAGTCCAGATGGCTTCACAATGGCCTTTTACCAAGATTGCTGGGAAATCATAGGTGGTGACTTGATGGAGGTGTTCTTATAATTCTTTGAGAGAGGTAAGATTAATTTGAGTGCGAATGCTACCATTTTAGCTTTGATTCCCAAAATGGTGGATGCAAGTCACGTAAATGATTTTAAACCCATTAGTCTGGTTGCTTGCATGTATAATATCACTTTTTCTTCAAAATACATGTGTATTAAGGCAATAAATACATTAAAGAGGCACAAATAAATGCAAACAAAGAGATGGATTAATGGTAACAAGACAATACACATAAATAAGAGGTCTTGGGTTCAAGCCTTGTTATTAACATTTTGAAGTTTCTGTTCATGTTATGACCGAGGCAGTTTCATAGAACTGAGATCGGTTCACTGGTTTTCTGGTTAAATTGGCCATGATCTGGTTTTGGCGATTTTTCATGAATTATGATTTTCAAGGTATAATAGAATCAGCCAAAGGGCCGATCACAGTTTAACCGGTTTGATTGGCTGGTCTAGTTTGATTTTCTAAACAATGGTAAATCCCAGTAGAAGGATAGGATTACTGCATACAGAGAGTATCAAGCAAGAAAGAAAACAATTAGAGAGCAACCTGCTCTGATACCATGTCAGTTCCAGCCAAGAAGGTGAGAGAACAAGAGTGAGATACAAATTGGAGGGGTGTCTTTAGTATCACAATCCCAGAAAGAAAAATCTTCAACATAGGATACAAAGAAAGATCTTCAACAAGAATGAATAAAATACATTAGTGTACAAAAATTAGTATACAAAGAAAGATAAAATTACAATTTTAACCCCCATCTTCTCTACGAAAATAGGATATAGCTGTTGTTTTAGTGGTTCAGATAAGTCCTGTTCAAAGAGAAGAAGAAGAAGAAGAAGAAGAAGAAGAAGAAGAAGAAGGAAGGAAGAAAACTGTCGAACTAGAGAGTCTTAACCCTCCTAGTCGACCATAATCTCTATTATATTAAAATAAGGTACAAAATCAAATATACCCCTACTTAAGAATGGGACAAGAAAAATAGAAAACAAAACAGAATTGCCACATCACTACACTACTTAAACTATAATGAAAAGACTAAGTTACCCTTACTCGACCAACTCTAACACCCCCTCAAGCTGGAGAATATATGTCATATAATCCCAACTTGTTACATATATAGTTCACTCTCCCTGAACTCAAACCTTTTGTGAACAAGTCTTCCCATTGATCACCTGAACTCACGTGTTCTGTGCTTATCTCTCCAGTAAGGGCTTTCTCCCTCACAAAATGGCAATCAACCTCTATGTGTTTTGTCCTTTCATTGAAAACTGGATTAGATGAGATGTGAATTGCAGCTTGGTTGTCACAGTACAATTTCATAGGTTTGCTCATTGAGAATCCAACTTCTTGCAGAAGATTTTTCAGCCATACTAATTCACAAGTGGTGTGTGCCATGGCCTTGTGTTCAGCTTCAGCACTACTTGCCACAACAGTTTGCTTCTTACTCTTCCACGTCACCAGATTTCCTCCAAGAAATGTGCAATAACCTATAGTGGATCTCCTGTCAGACACCGAGCCTGCCCAATCTACATCTGTATACCCAACTATCTCAAGTCTTCCCCATGGTTTGTACAACAACCCGCGACCTAGAGCTCCCTTCAAGTACCGTACAATTCTAAGAACTACATCCCAATGAGGTACTCGAGGGTTTTAATTTGGCTCACCACACTAACAACAAAGGAGATGTCTGGTCTAGTAATGGTTAGGTGGCTCATCTTCCCCACTAACCGTCTATATCTTCTAGGATCATCAAACATTTCACATGAATCATTGCTCAACTTAGCATTTGGTTCTATGGGTGTTTCAGTTGGTTTTGCACCTAACAATCCCGTTTCTTCCAATAGATCAAGAACATATTTTCTTTAGCATAAATTTATACCTTGTTTCAACCTGGCGACTTCTATACCCAAGAAGTACTTCAACTTCCCAAGATCTTTTGTTTGGAAATGTCCTTGCAGAAAGGCCTTTAGTCTATCAATCCCTAATCTGCCATTACCAGTTATGACTATATCATGCACATAAACCACTAATAGAATCTTCCCAGCTTCAGAATCATAGCTAAACATTGAGTGGTCAACCTGGCATTGTTTCATTCCAAAATTTTTCACCACTTCACTAAACTTCCCAAATCAAGCACGAGGAGACTGTTTTAACCCATAAATTGCCTTCTTGAGCCTACACACGTTACCATCCTCTCCCTGAGCAACAAACCCTGGTGGTTGCTCCATATAGACCTCTTCCAAAAGGTCACCATGGAGGAAGATATTTTTAATCTCAAGCTCATACATAACTGCCAAGGAAATCAAGACGCAAACTGAACCGATCTTAGCCACAAGGGAGAAGGTTTCCATATAATCCACCCCATATAACTGAGAATAACCTTTAGCAACCAATCGGGCTTTCAACCATTCCACACTGCCATCTGGTAAATATTTAACAGTATACACCCATTTACAACCTACAACATGCTTACCAGGAGGAAGAGTGGTGAGCTCCCATGTGTGATTGTGTTGAAGAGCAGAGAGTTCCTCCTCCACTGCTTGATGCCACCCCGGTGAAGTAAGAGCCTCCTGGACATCCCTGGGTATAAATATAGAGGACAACAAAGAAACAAACTGGGTACAACTACATTTACCTTTTTGTAATGCAATGGGAAGATCAAGTTCAAAAGAGGTAGGCAACTTTGGAACAGGAGCAACTACAGGATCCACAGACGAGGTAGAAATCGAAGGAGGTGCTGGTGTTTGTTGATGAGTATACACGTGCCAGATCGGTGGAGGAGGTGAAGGGTTAGACATAACAGGAACAACCGGAATGGGATCACCAACTGGAAAAGGAAGAGGGACGAAAAAAATGTGACATCAGGGCAGACAAATGATTTATGAGTGGTAGGATTGTAACACTTATACCCTTCTGGGCCCAAGAATAGCCAAGAAAGATACACTTAATAGAGCGTGCATCTAGCTTGTCTAAACCAGGGCCCAGATTATGAACAAAGCACACACACCCAAAGACCCAGGGAGTTAATGGAAAGGGAGACAAAGTGGGAAACAAAATAGAAAAGAGAGATCGACCATGAATGGAGGGCATCCGATTAATGAGAAAACAAGCCGTAAGCATTGTGTCACTCCAAAAACGTTTAGGAATGCTCATATGATGAAGGATAGATCGAGCAGTCTCAAGAAGATGACAGTTCTTTCGTTCAGCCACCCCATTTTATTGAAGGGTGGATGCACACGATGTCTGGTGAATGATGCCATGTTGTTCCAAATATTGTTGAAAGGAAGTAAGAAAGTATTTGTGACCATTATCAGAACGAAGAACTTTTATTGGGACACCAAAGTGTGTACGTATTTCAGCATGGAATTTTTGAAAAATAGAAAACAATTCACTCCTTTCTTTCATTAAATAAATCCATGTGTATGAACTAAAGCAAAATGACTCAACATACGACTATCAACCCTAGAACTGAAGGAAACCCGATGGTGTTTCCCTTACTGACGCTACCCACACTGCAAAGAAGACAAATGACTCAAAGAAGGAACTAGTAGCTTGAGAGCCTTGAGAGATGGATGTCCTAGCCAATAATGCCATTGAAGAGGAGTCAAGGAAGTTTGAAGTGCAACTAAAGATCCACCACTGTCAAGATAGTACAATCCTGGCTTCATGCCCTCCACCAATCTTCWTCCCCGTCTTGAGATCCTGAGAAACACAAAATGAAGGGTAAAATGTGATAGAGCAATTAAGGGCCTTAGTTAATTTAGTAACAGACATTAGGTTGAATGGAAATTTAGGCACATATAGAACAGATGGTAAAGAAAGCGAAGCAGTGTCAACATTACCAACACCACAAATGGAGGAAGAAGAACCATTGGCCAGGGTAACAGTTTGTGATGTGGAAGTTTTAGAAAGGGAAGAAAACACACCTAGAGTCCTGGTCATGTGATTACAGGCTCCAAAATTGATAAGCCAATGAGAAGGTTTGGATGCCAGACAGGCCATACCTGAGTGTGCAAGAGTAGCAGTGTTATGTTGTGAAGTGGCCTGAAGGAAGCTCTCATACTCATCTCGTGCTACACTCATCATCCCCTTTCCCAGAAGCAAATGTAGATGTGGAAGGTGTTTGATTTGTCTGTTGGTTATCACTCACATCACCACCACCAACAATTGCATGATTAGCCCATGTAGAGGGTGGGCCATGTTGATCATAACAGAAATTAATCTTATGTCTATCTTTGCCACAATGTGTACACTTTCTAGTAGTGTGCCCTCTTCCTCTACCACGGCCTCTCCCTGAGTCACGACCTCCACTAGTTCCACCACCATGACCAAACATGGGACTACCACGGCCTTCTCAAAATGTATGTCCTCCCCCTCTATTGCCACATCCACCTCCTCTCGCTACAACAAGCACAGATCTGTTAGATGTTGTGGTACTCTTTGTGGGTCCCAAGGAAATCCTACGAAGCCGAGCAAAGACCTCGTGTAGGAAGAGTAGTGTAATCTGAAGTGCTATACTCGAAGTAGCAAGGAAGAAAAGAGAATGACAGAAAAGAAGAGAATGTCGAACTGTACTAGCCAGTTGACTAGTTCTTTATTTATAGATGAATATAGTACAAGGTACAAGAAATTACTGGGATGCCCCTGATTAGTGATGGGACACC